GGGCCCCTGTCCCCAGCCTTCCACTCACTCAAACCAATCCACTCTATCAAGCAGCCTACACTGCTCTGGAGAGGAAGAAGTTCCTTCCCCTGGTGAAGAAGAAGCAGCATCTTTGTGCCATTCAGAAGATCACTGAAGGGGATGTTGAAGCACTCTTCCCTGGGGACGCGGCTAAGGGACTGAGACAAGAGATGCGGCTCCTCCATACTGATGTTGCTGCTGCCGCCCCAGTAGCAGCAGCAGCCAATGCGTTGTCGTTGCCTCAGCTTTTCACTCAGTATGTTGCTGGCGAGTTGCAGAATGGTGTGATTGATGCAGCTGCTCAAGCAAATACTGCTGTGGATGATCCAGTCGCTGCTCAAAATTCTTTTGCTTTTGCAGCACACAGATTGCTCACTAATCATGACATTCAGGGGAACATGGCAATGAGGCATGCCATGCAAGGAATGGGTCCAATGGGGACTGAGACGAGGGATGGGCTGTCCATCGACGCTCTCAGGAAGGGGAGGACTGTAACAGCAGCGGATCCAGCAGTGGAACGCGCAAGKGGATTTGGTGTTCTGGGCCCTCGCGAGTTGCAACAGCAGCAACCTACAACGCAGCAGGTCCAGCCTCCGCTGCAGCATCAGCAGCAGGCCTGGCCTCCACAGCAGGCCCCTCTTCCTGCTGGAGGACCTCCTACCTTCAACCATCAGGACCTGAGGCATTTTAGGAATAAGCTGTCTCCTGTTCCTGATAGGACTGATGATACTCGCTCCCCCCTTGAGGTTGAGCTTGCTGCTGCTGCTGGTAGTGGTAGTGGAAGTACTGTGCGTCCTCGGCCTACAGTTGCAGGAGCTGCAATGCCACCTCCAGTAGCAGCAGCGATGCCTCCACCAGCTCAGGTTTCTGCAGTATCCAAGAGATCCTACAGCACCAGAGGGTCCTCCAGCTTGAATCCTATCAGTATTCTTGAGAGTGACAGTGAGAGCTCTGGATTCAGCTTGTGCAGCACAGGAAAGCTGGTGGACGTGAAGCCGGTGGTGGTGAAGTCTGAATTCAAGCTTCCTAGTCCTATGCCAAAGCGTTGCAACAAGGGCTTGGCTGTTGCAGCTACTCCATCCTTTGCAAGGAAGATCAGGCAGGAATCTCTCAAGCAGTCTCTTGGTAACAACACCCCTTTTACAATGAAAGCGCTGGATCTACTGTACACGCAGCTTACTGCTGAGGACACTAGCACTGAGGCCATGGCATTGAAGAAGAGAGCGCAGGACATGGAGAACCTGTGCCCTAATGTTGAGCAGGCGACTGGTTCCTTGGTGAAGTTTGCCAAGCGCCAGCTGTTTGCAAAGCAGGGGAAGCAAGCTTGTCCTGCTCCTTCAAACACTGGTGGCTTGAATTTGCTTGCAGTAGCAGCAAGCACTGGCTCAAAGCGCCCAGCAGTAGGCCGCGGCTTGGGCTTGGGCCTGGGTCTCAAGCGCGTTGCCAAGCGTCCAGCTTTGAGCCGCAAGAAGCCTGTTGTTGCTGCTGCAAAGAAGGCCTCGGCTGTTGCAAGCAAGAAGGCTAGTCCTGGTGGCTTGCCCAGCAGCCAGAGCTCAGGCGGATTTGACTATGGAGACAGTGATTGATTGATTGCCACTGGCTCGTGTAGTCTTTCCTATGGATGCTGAATACTGAAAGCATCGATTCAAATACTGAGTGCATCGATTCCTCTAATGGTGGTTCTTTTCCTCCTGTTTCTCCACCATTAGGATGTCCTCTTGCTGTCTCTTTTGTACAAACAGAGCAGCTTGCGCGTGCTGTTGTAATCCCTGTGATTGCTGTTGATAGAACGCCAGGTACCTTGTTGAGGTAGTACTACTATTGTAATAGTATAGAGACCCCCATATTAGTTTGTAAAGCAACTTGCTGTAGATTCCAGACGCGCTGCAGTATATTCAAAAACTGTAGGCCCAGACTGACTCACTAGACCAGCGACCTGGTCCTTGGGGTATTGCTCAAGTCTATTGCATCTACTCTTGGTAGCTATGATTCCTACTAAAGAACTGGCTGTATACAAATAGTACTGCTATAGATAAATGAAGGGCCTCGCATTGGATCCATGCAAGCTTAAGTATAGGAAGCAATTGATTCATCTGACTGTAATTCAATCCATCTAGTCGATTCGCGGAAGAAGCTGCTGCAAGGCAAGCTGCTGCAAGGCAAGCTGCTCCAGTACAAGGATTCAACCGACTGCTGTGGTATTCAATCGATTCAACCGACTGTAATTCAGTCCATCTAGTCAATCCATCATCCAAATCGATTGAGCATCCAAGCAAGCTGCTCCAGTGGGGACTGGAATCCAAGCCTCCCCAGTAGGATTCAATTTTGATAGGCCCAGAAGGAGTCGACTTGCCAGCGAGCCACGCTCCAGGGTGTTCCTCCAGTCCATTGCAACTACCCCGCGGATCCAGCTCACTTGCTGGAGACCATCGAGCTGTTGTTGTTGTTGCTGTGTCCTAATATGTCCTAGGCTGATACACCCCATCMACAGTATATCCACAGTGGTCAAAGGTTGAATCAAATGGAGCGAGTGACCTAAAGGCCTCAGTTCTAATGGCGTGCTCCAGATCCGCAGTGGTCCAGTGAGGCCTTGCCATCTTGCTTACAGCCCCAATCAGATCACAGATCTTATACTCAATAGGACCATACTTGGGTTGGTAAGGGGGCCGTGGGACAGAGCTAAAGACAGTCCCTCCACCAGCTGGTCTCACCTCAACTGTTTGAGCTACCACGTTGGTTAGATGAGCTCCTAGATTGTCCCAAAGGAATACTCTTTCAGCATCCGTGTCCCCAGGGGCTGGATTCTGCTCAATATCACTGCAAATCTCCTCGATAAACTGAGCAAAGGTCCACGCTGAGGTCCCTCCAGCTCTGATCACCTCAATCCACCTCCTTGGGTTCTGGATACTTCCCCTGGTCTCAGGAGGAAGCCGAGGATCCCCTGGCTCCACAGCAAAGAGGACAGTGAGCTTGTTGGTCCTCTCATAGTGTCCTATCTTTCTTACTCGTTGACGGATGAAAGCCCATCCATACCTGCAGTTGGTCCTCTGCAGGTTGAAAGCAAACTCATCCACATCAATGAACTTCCTCCTTGGGATGCCAACCACACAAAGGGGGGGAGGAAGATTCCAGAACCACTCACATCTCCTTCTATTCCTAAAGGTGAACGCTTGGTAGGCTTCAGTTGATGCCCTCTTCCTGGTGATCTTCATTCCATCCAAGCGCCTGGAGATATCTACTCTTGAATAGATCCTCCCCCCTTGATTATAAATGAATGTGGCATTCTCATCTGCACTAGCAGAAGGATTGATAGTCAAACCAATAGCAAGAAGCATCTGGTCTGGTCCAGCCAGCTTGCTCTGGTCACTGTTGCCTGTCATTCTGTATGGATCAAGGCGTCTACTCCATCTTGAAATAGACCATCTACTTGCAAATACAGGAGGAAGACCATCTTCCTTCCTTTGCAGTTCCAGCTCTCTTACAAAGACAGGATAGCCTCTACTTCCCCCCTTTCCAGGATGAGGCAGCTCAGCTCTTGTTTGTTGTGTTAATCTAGAAAGACCAGCACCGGATCTGATCTTTGCTACCTTATCTGCTGGGTCGTTGTTCATGCTGATTGCTGATTGCCGACGTCGGAAGAAGCAGTCTCGTCGTGAAAAAGAAGCTACACTGAATACACTATAAAATCTGTTACACTTGCTTGTTTGTTACAGTTAAGGGCTTGTTAAAACGACAATCGAAGAGAGCTATCCAGTGATACCAAGTACAGTGTATGAGATTGAGAGTAAGTGCTTGAAATAGACCGATTCCCATGGTCGGTTGCTTTGAACCGGGGAGTTTTTTGATAGAATGAAAAGAACAGTTTTAGCACGCTAAATCAGCGTTGTATCAGCGTGCTGTATCAGCGTGCTGGAGGGAAGTTTTCAGGTAAAGACACTAGGACACAGTACATTTTTGAACGAGCGATAAAACCCTTCAATTTTGAGCAAAATGAGCAGTCTACCCCCTTGATCCACGATTTTCTACAGGATTTTCTACACAGCTTTGTACTAGGATCCATCCAAATAGATCATTTTGCTCCTCACTGAGCAGCTGGATCAGCAGCTGCTGACCTGCCGGCGTGCCCATAGCGGGGCTAGTACTAATCCTACGTAGGCCTACCTAGCATAGTTGGCAACTTGCGCTGAAAGTTGACAACTTTGATTCAAAGTTGACAACTTCGATTCAAAGATGATAACTTTGTTTTAACGCTTTAAGTCTTAGCTTGCGAGCACTTGCGCGCTGGGCAAGACGGTGTGCAATTGTTATGAAACTCGTAGTACTACGAGTTTCATAACAATTGCACATCGTCTTGCGCAGTGCGCAAGTGCTCTCGCCCAGAGAGCAAAAAGTAATAATTTGAAGTTCTAAACTTCGATTTGAAGTTAAGAACTTCACGTAGAAAGTCTACCAGGTTCTACTGAGCTAGTTTTTGGATGGCATTCATGATTGATTCATGATTGAATCACCTCAAACTATTTTTAACCGCCCTGAACCATTTTGTTTTGTTTTGAGGGGAATCGTGATTCATCCATTCAGTCATTTTAAAAAATTAGCTCAGTAGAACCTGGTACATKATGTACGAGCAAAAGTTCATAACTTCAAATCGAAGTTTAGAACTTCAAATTATTACTTTTTGCTCTCTGGGCGAGACCGTGTGCAATTGTTATGAAACTCGTAGTAAAGTGAAGTACAGTACCCGGTCGGGTCCGAAATACGAAGTGACAGCTTTTTAACAGTAGGGATTTTACAGAGCTCTACGCATGGAACAATAGTCTTAATTCCGACCAGCATGGGCAAGCTGTCACTTAGTTCCACGTAGAACCAAAAAGGAACTATTTTATACCGTACGGAGGATGCTGAAACTACGGAGATACGGAGGATGCTGAAACTACAGTGGAGGACACTGCTGCTGCTGCTACTACTGCTACTGCTACTACCACGGAGGATGCTGATATGGACGCTGATACAATACGGATGAGCTGTTTGAGTTCGAATTAAGACTATTGATTTCTAACAGGTTATGAGTACATAAAACGCACCAGTCTTTAGCCATCTTTGGTTCCTTCTTAACTCTAGCAAAAGCACCAATCAGAATTAGAGAATCCGTTAGCCGGAAAGGGTTTTCTCTTGTCCTTCGATACATGTGCATATTGTATATGTTTCTTGCCAGAGAGCCTTTTCTGGCTGGTTGATTTCTCTGAAAAAACTCATTAACACAACCTCCAGCATGATACTAGTAGTAGTAGCAAGCTGTCACCTCTTTAGTTCTTCATCAATATCAAACCAATCGCGCTCACAAGACAACTGTGCTAATCCTTGCATTAAGGGCTCAAGGATACGGAAGTAGTGGAGCAATCGACCCAGTGGTTTACAAGAAACAGGAGATCTAAGCAACAGCTAAAATATCAACAAAAAATCGTACATCAGCTCAGCTCAGCTCAGCGAGCATCCATATCATATCAGCAAGCGTCCTCCGTAGTATCAGCAAGCGTCCCCCATAACAAGCAACTCATATCAGCATCCATATCAGCGTCAGTATCAGCATCTCCGTATCAGCGTCCCTGTATCAGTGTCCATATCAGCATCCTCCGTAGTAGTAGCAGCAGTGTCATCCGTATCTCCGTAGTTTCAGCATTCTCCGTATGGTATAAAATAGCTCCTTTTTGGTTCTACATGGAACTAAGTGACAGCTTGCCCATGCTGTTTGGAATTCAGACTATTGTTCCATGCATAGAGCTCTGTAAAATCCCTACTGTTAAAAAGCTGTCACGTCATATTTTGGACCCGAAAGGGTACTTGGCAATTCCCACGCAAACGCTAACAAATAATTCTTGCTCATTTTTACCAGCAAAAGATGTTAGAAATAACTGTCTATGCAAAAGCAAACATTCAAAATTGTCTTCCAACTTCTGAAAAATTCTGGCGCGGAGAATGGCTGAGAGCTACGCCAGGATTTATTTAGCAACTGAACCCATTTCACCCATTGCTTTGCTTGCCTGATTTTTTTCAGATTTCATATTTCATAAATTTAAAACTGAGCTCCTCCACATCAGTGTCCTCTGTATCAACAGCATCCTCCTCTGTAATCTTTAGGATCAGCATGATTTGTATCAGTGTACTCCTCCATCATGATATCAGCATAATTTGTATCACCAGTGTACTTCTCCATATCAGCAACTCGTATCAGCAGCTCCTCCATATCAGCATAATTTATATTTTGCACTTGCTCTGTATCAGTGAATCACAATGCAATCTGTATCAGTGTACTCCTCCACATCAGTAACTTGTACTATGAGTGAATCACCATACACTCTGTCATACCAGTACCTCACTGATTGGTTGATTGTTGCTTTTTTGGAAGAAACAATGTTAAACTTGTCTTGACCAGTACAAAATCATCCAGTCATTCCTCATTAGATTGTTGCCCTTATGATGACATGCCCCGCTTCTGTGATGAGGATCATCACATCCATGATGAATATGCTCTCCTCCTGCCATTGTAGCTGGCTGGTCAGTAGACACATTAGCTTGGCACTACACCCTTCAGACATATTGGTCTGTGATGAATCAATTGTGCCTCATTTGGATTACTTGAATGATAAACAATTGGTTGTTGAATTATTGTCAGCAACTGCCAATCACTTGATGAAGTACTGCCTCTGCATGCCAGTTCCTTGAGTATATAATAACTTGAATACAGAGATCCACACTTGAGTATCGCACTTGAGTATTGCACTTGAATATTGCAAACAACGCAAATAACTTGAATACAGAGATCCACACTTGAGTATCGCACTTGAGTATTGCACTTGA